AACTCTCCTTATATGTATGATTTTATTAAAATGTTTAATTGAAAAATCAGTGAAAAATCAATAATATGAGTCCCAAAAATAATGAAGTAAATGGAAAGAAAACTAGTCTAGCCCGTAGGATTAAACTTGATCCGTACAATATTAAGTCAAATTCCAAAATTATTGATTCCAACAAACGAAAAGTTCAAAGGTGTTTTATTGAGCAATTGAAACTTATTACTTAAAATCAATTGGGTTAAGTACCAAACGAAGGTTTCAAAACAACATGCCATGCATGACTTAACGGCACGTAGTAGCTAGTGAATCATAGGCGTTTTAAAGGCAGGGGAAGGGAAGAAAGGAAGTGAGAGAATAAAAAGAGAGATTGTGGCCCAGCAAAGACCGGAACTTGGTGACCGGCGCCTCTCACGGTAGCAAAAGTTAGCCCTCCGGCATAAGTCTCAACCCATCCAGCGACTTGACTCTTGTGGAACCATGACCTCCACGGCGACTCCACTTTAAGTCCCATCTTCTTTATGCTATAACGCGTTGATGTTACCGGAACTCTTCCATCCGTATCTCCGCTATAACCAAAATTAAACCAATCGGATTAAAATCAATTGACAATACGTGGAATAATATAACGATATTCTTACATACCTATAGATCCAGATGCGGAGGCCACCCGTCAAAAGCTTCTGGATTGTGGGAATCATGGTGGATGGAGCATCACTCCAACTTTTTATTACCCCACTAAATCACACAGACACATATATATGCTTTGTTCATTAGAAATGTAAACCGGATTTTCCCATTTTTACCAAAATTTATACTAACGCAATAACTTAACATTGGAAGTAAAACAATAAAGAAGGAAGGTAAGTAGTACTACGCAACGTAACGTTCATTAGAGAGCCATTGTTAATTAGTACTACGCAACGTAAGTAGGACTAACCTGCAAGGAGTGTACGGGTAAGGAAGGTTCGTAACGTTTGCATGTAGTGCGACTTGCACATCTTTCCGATTAAAATAATTTTCGGCGTAGCCTTCAGTGCATGGATCGTAGCCGGAGGCAGAGGGCAAGCTATCCCACATGTCCTGATAATTTAAACCATCAAAATTCATTAAAGTTTGAGGAGAAATCTTGAAGAGAATAGATAACATGATGATTGTTACATTACATTACAATAAATTCTATAATTTTGTATTGTGTGAAGTATAAATACTTACGTGTGAAGTAAGGAGACGAGGAGACACAACGAGTTTAGGTTTTCTTGG